CACATGCACTTCAGCTATCCAATACGTCTCTTACTCTGCATGGAAATCATTTACCAACCTAGCATTCCCATGATTACCTGGTTTTCATTTCATCACACTCAAACATCTCCATCTCTCTAGACACTTGTACTATCATTACGAAAAATAAAAAGTCAGCCATTCTTCCATATAATTCGCATATTACCCAGCAACCAATTTATTACTACATTTACACAACCACTAAACAACCTATTCAAACATTCCCAAACACAAACATTGTTTATCACACACCTCTAGTGTGGATTTTGAGTTTGACTAAATGAACTGAACGCCACCATTTCTATTTTCCTTTGGTTTTACAAGTGTCTCTGTCTATATGTGGGTGCATGTGGGTGCATATATGTACGGCATAATGATACAAAATATGCTAAAATATGCCAATTATTTATTGAGAATAATACGGAAATTTTTTTATTAAAAATTAACCCTTAGTGTTATATCTTTTCGTTACTTTCTTTCTTTGATTTAATTTTTCCTGGTCAAGCTATTTGTTTGAGTATGTTAAGATTGTTCATTGTTCCCGATGTCCGAAACCGTGTGTAAAATATTACTCAGACAATTTTCATTCCTTTAGCGGTACGTAATAAAAATTACTGTCAATGCGATTAGTTCACAGCTTCGTGCATTGTAGTCGAGATTCATTGCTGGACTAAGCTATTTTCTTTAGTTCATATAAGTCCAGGTGGATGTAATAAAAATAGTCCTAAGAGACTATTTTCTTTTAAGTCTACTGTATTATTCAGGTGTAACGCTGCGACATACCTGTCAATTATTCATATGTTCATAATATGAAAAAGATATAACCTTTACTTTACCTTAAGCCATGTCTTCACTTAAGTAAAAACTATTAAAATGTAATACTGATTATTGATCTCACCTACGAAATTAGCAAATAGTAGAAATATTAACTTAGATCTAAATATATGTTTGTTTGTATTGGGCTACACATTGACCTAGCTGTGCTCTTCCTACTACTGATACCAAAACCCGATTTTTAGCGTTATAAGTCCTCAGGCTTATCGCTCAGCCACCAGAGCGCGCGGATACTTATATATATTCATAACGTGTTCATTTGAGACAGTAAATATAATATTTTTTCAAAGAATCAGAAGTAATGAATTATTTTACTTAAACAAAAACCCTCATAGGTTCAACGTTTAACAATAACATTAAATATTAAATAATCAGAAATAATTAACAAGTTTTTCATCAACCAAGTTTATCAATCCATTACTTTTCATACTAAGTTTATTACATGGCATAACGCATTACGTTTGTTTGTTTGTAGCTAAGCGCAAAGCTACACAGTGGGCTATCTGCACTGTGCCTACCAAAGGTATCGAAATCCGGTTTCTAGCGTTATAAGCCTTCAGACTTATCGCTGTACCGGTGTGAGGCCAAGGCCTTATGTATTTAATATCTCAGTAAATTCAAATAAAAAATCAGGTAATTGTCAATAACATACTATATATATATATATATATATATATACATAATTTAAATTATTTACTAATTAAACTTTAGTTGGTTGACTAATTAGTTTAAAATAACTACTTACCTATTAGTTATACAATTAATTTTTAACTTTTTTCTTACTTAACAAAGTA